CACTGGAAGGACACGCACTGACAAAAACACCATCACCAAGTGAAGGTTGGGGGAAAAAAATTAGACCTCGAATAAGGGAAGAAGTTAGGGACCAAGCTTGTGAAATAAGAAAGAAAAAGGGGAAAGAGGAGGGGGGGGGAGAGGTGTGGACCACTTCTATTTGTTGCCCCTGGGATATCTTAAATTTGGTCATATTATTTCAGGCCACTGCCCAAACATTAGTTTAGCTTCAAAGATTATAGACTATCTCAAGAGGTAAAATCTAAGATACACCTCTTTATACTTTATTCAGATGGGAGGAAATGTGGTTGCTTTATTAGCTGTTCTTTTAATCACACTAAATCTATTAATCGCCTTGAGTGTGTATGAATTTCTGTGTCTTCATCCAACTATACTTGTTAACTACTACTACTAATCAATCTTTGTACTAGCATTTCCATCCCTCTTCACCCCCAAAGATGTGTATATATATTCTGCCCATTGATTGAATACTCCATGCATTTTATGAAGCAAACGACTGTAGTTCAAATACTGTAGTATATACCAAATAAACGTTAGTACAGTACATACTGTGATGCTGCAAACATTTTTTGTTGTTAATACTTATATGTGATTTCACCCACCCATCCCACTTGAATTGTTTGTATGAACAGAAGCTTTCCATTGGTAGCTCTTTAGTTGTGGAACTCTGGGACCATTTTAATTAATCTGAGATAAAATCCAGTGTCCTGATAAATGAACTTGACACAGCGTTCCAAATGAGGTCTGAGAAAAACACAATTGTTACTTGCCTTGATTTGTACACTTTATTTCTGTGAATGCTGCCTTATATAGCATTAGCTTTTTTTGCTGCTGCATTCCATAGTTGACTGATCTTTAGCTTGCGCTCTATTAAGGTGCTCTGGGTCCTTTTAAAGCAGAAAGGTGGGATAGAAAAATTTTAAATAAAATACATTTTCACATGTACTATTCCCAAGTCATCTGCAAACCATCTTATACTTGTGCATCTGTTTTTTTCCCCCTTCTTCTCCCTGTTGAAAATTTGTCTGTTTTGGCCCACTTCTCTAATCTGTTTAGGTCATCCTGAATCCAGATTCCATTTTCAAAGTATTAGATACCCATCTCACTTTGGTGTCCTCTGCAAATTCGATGTGTATCCCCCTTTGTTCCTGAATCCAGTCATTTATAAAGATGATGAATAACAATGGGATCAGGAAAGAGCCCTGTGACATCCCATGTCACATTCCCACCTGCCTTGTGGTTGTTTCACTAAACAAAGGCACAAGCTACATGTCATTCAGCGGCAACCAGTTCAATTACATCAACGTTATTCTCTATTAAAGATAGAGGTCCAGTCAATGTGTCATTTAAAAACCAAAGTAGAAATTGTTTATTGTTACAAGAAATAAAAGTTCAATCAGTGTCGTTAACTCTCAACTAAAATAACATTCCTTTCTATTCTCTACCGCCCTCCCAAACTTTCTCTCAACTCCAGACTCCCCAACTCTAACTCCTCCCCACCTCTTATCATCTCCCTTCTTTTTCCTCGTCCTCCTTAACTCTGTCCCACCAACTCCCACTGGTGCATGCAAATCTCAACACAAACACTGTACAGTATTAATAAGCACAGTGAATGCTAAACATGAATACTGTACAGTACAGTATTAATAAGCACAGTGAATGCTACACCCCTCTTGTCACTTTTCTCCAGGACTACAACCATTCATGAGCACTCTTTGGATACCCCCCATCAGCCAGCTACAAATCTATCTAGAGCCCATGTTGTGCAGTCATCTTCATGTCTACTCTGACATCTCATTGAATTCCCTGGGATGTCCGAGTAAAGGTGAAGCCTTTGGGAGCCTCGGAACAAAGGAGGGAGCCTTCAATGTCAGAAATTGCCAGCAGCAGTCCCAATATTAAAGGCTCCTCCCCCCTCCCTGTCCTGGGGTTGCCAAAGGTTTCCCCAATGCAAAAAGTGTCAGAATTTGAAGGGGAAGGATAGGAAGTTTTAAATTAAAAAAAAATTAAGAGTAACATCATTGTGTGATAACATCAATGCTGTTGCATGGTGTAAAGTTACATCAACTGGATTTCAGCCAGTGTGTGATGAAGTTCCTGAGACAGCTGGTATTGTATCTACAAAGTACCTAATAAATGTGTTGGTTGCTATGTTTTTCCAAACCCAAGTGCTTGGCAGTTACTTCAAAGCTCAAATGACTTGTGGTCTCATTATTCAAAAGATCCCCTGCGCCTGCATAAAACCAGTGGGGCCCTTTGATCATCCAGAAGATGCTCACGTGTCCACCAGTAAGCACTGGTGGACACCACCAGGCCCTTTTTGGTTCGGTGTTCCCAGACACTCCATCCCAGTGCAGGCTCCGTCTTCGGGGCCAAATCGTTATGTGCCCAAAGACAAGTACATATTTCAGAGTGCTCAAAATTGCCCGTTCGGTAGCTGCCACCACTCCTAATGGAGATCACTCAAAAACATTTCCAACATCATAGAATTACTAAGGGTAAAGAATTGGATAACAGGGACACACAACTCCACTCTCAGTCACCTTGCAGACAAGGTCTGCAAGTTTTATAAGGTTTATTAAAAAGAAAAGGTAGAAAGGGGGGGGGGAATCAAAAGGAATATTGCAGAAAAATTCAAACAGTTCCAAAATCACAAAAACGTCTAGAGATAAGTCAGGTCTACTTGTAAATTGTTGGAAATGACAGCTTGGATTGAATCACCCCCTACTTCCTTCTTGGAGTGAAATATTGCTGTCAGACCTGAGAGTGAAAAAGACACAAGTTCTGCTCATCTATTGTACAGATGGGCTAGCTGTTAATTACTTGTAATCCTCTTTTAACTCAGCAGGGAGTCAAGAAGCAGAACATAGCAAAATCCAGGTCCTGCCAGTATCTTAATCAGAATAACCCGAGGGCAACCTTTTTGACTTAGGATGCATAACATCCAGGACATGAACTTTAATTAAAAAGGATGATACCTATTGGTTTCAAGGGCACTTTGAAACAACAAACCACAGGATAATTAGGTGTGAATCTGTTGCAAAGGTTTGAATTTTTTGTTAAATTCCTCTAGCTGCTGTGCAGCAGAGGTACTGTACAGAAGTTCACAGAGTAGAATAGCTTCAAGTTCTCCAGAGTACTTCATCTCTTTTCTCATCAACTGGCACTTACAATCTCAGGAACTCGCTCCGAGGCATCAGAAGTAGAAAGAATAACATTACTGTAGTTACAATTTAACAGATCAGACAGCAAACAAAATATGACTCCTTATAACAACAAACTTCAGCTGGGAAAACTGCTGAGAGGGGAAAAAGCGCTCAGCGGAGAAGCAGGGATCTCTCTGAAATCAGAAGCAGAGAAAGAACAATTGGTAAGTGCTGGACACCCCAGCCCAGAAAGGTCCATATCAGCCACTACAACTGGAGGCAGCAGGCAAGGCAATAAAAACTCCATTAGAAACATCTGCTGAAACCAGCTTGATTAGAAGTCCTTGGAAAGGACTCAATAGAACCTTCCCATGTTCCATTTGTTTCGGGGTGGGGTTCAGTCCATTTCCCCACTTACTTTAATTAGTCCAAATAATATCTGAAAGTCCAAATCATTCCTTTGCATTGAGGAAAACTCTATTGTAGAAAATATACTTTGTGTTACATTTTTATAAAATGGCTCTAGATGTTTTAGTGTCATTTAAAAACTGATTTGGCTTGATAGATTTCTATCATATGCTTTTCATTAGCTGCTGAATCTGCTTCACATTTGGTATGTTAATACTGATGCTTTACTTAATTGCATATTTACCATTACAATATATTTTGATGTATTTTAATTTGTTATATTTAGGATTGAAAAATATCCTCTTCTTTTCTTTTGTAAATAATCTTGAAGCATTTGCCTTCAAAGATTACATAAAATTAATTTTATTGGTGTATATATTGAATTGACTGCTGTAACACTCCCTATGAGCCCTTTAAGCACTCTGGGGCCACATAAAAGCATCCTATTTTATGCCCAGTGACTCTTCCCCCCATTTTTGTTTGTTACCTCTGGTGATCCATTTCCAATTTGTTGTTTAATAATTAAAATAGATAAAAGTCTAGTGAGCTTGCGATAAACTCATGGCTATCCCATTTGTTTGTAGTTTGCCGGCTTTGCTATCATTTATCAAAGAAGGACAAAAAGAGGCCATTTTTATTTGTTTGTTTGTTTTCCTTGTGGGTGATTTTTTTAAAAATTATAATTTTTTTAAAAAACTAAATGTTTTTTTCAGTAAAAGGGACCCCTTTTACACCTCTTTTTGGCTTAACTAGAAGGGAGTTGGCTAGTTTCACAACAGAGGCAGGGCCTATGGAGGCAAGAACTAGCCTTGACTTCTGGTCTAGTAAACTTAGCCAAAAATAATAAAAAATTAAAAAAAGCAAACCCACATTGATATACGGGAAATTGAAGGGCAACAGGAGGGCGACTGACAATGCAGCCCGTGCCAGGGATAGATTCGAGGAACAAGAAAGGGAAAGGCTCAGGAGTCATACACGGACATCGTTGAAATCTGAGTGGTCATTTTACAAGTTTGGGAAAGTCCAAGGATCATTTATTTGTTTTTCCGCAATTGCAAAATTGCGCGCGCTAACAACAGCTGGTGAGGCCAACCCCGATCAGTAAAAGTGCCGGGGAAGACATTTCCCAGGAGGGCTTCTCCCTTTCCCAAAAATCAGGCGAAGTCTTTCGGAGGGGTTTCCTCAGTCCCCACGTTTCTCCCTACACGTCGTCCCCACCACACGCTCTTTATCGCCGAAGGCGGATCCGCAAAGTTTTCCCGCCGCTGGGAAGCCGTTGTTTGGCAATGGGGCCAGGTTGGGGAGGGGGGCAGCTGATTTCTCTTTCTGTGTTGTCTGTGGTGTTTTAAGTCTGCATATTTCCCCCCCTTTCCCTCTGATTCCCTGATTTCATTCCTTACAGCCGGGACGCCTCCATGTATTCTGCAAAATCCAAAGAAACTAAACAAAACAAGACCAAAATAGGTGTCACCTTTAAGATTAACGATGGCATTTTAATTGTGATCGTTACGTTTTACACTACATTTTAATGTTTCACATAACACCAGCTTGGTCAGACATCTGGAAACAGAATGAAATGCTGAATGAAATAATCTCCCACATGACAGCAGCCGCTTGCCCCGGCATGGATCGCGGGGCTCCGGGGCGTCTCTCCAGCGCCATCAGGATGAGCCCCTTTCTCTGGGCCGCCCTGCTCAGTCTCTGCCCAGGTAGTAGTAGCCCCACAGCCCCTTGGCTGCTGCAGCGGATTGGGGGCGGGGGAGGTGGGGGGGACGGGGTGTTGTTTGGCAATGGGGCCAGGTTGGGGAGGGGGGCAGCTGATTTCTCTTTCTGTGTTGTCTGTGGTGTTTTAAGTCTGCATATTTCCCCCCCTTTCCCTCTGATTCCCTGATTTCATTCCTTACAGCCGGGACGCCTCCATGTATTCTGCAAAATCCAAAGAAACTAAACAAAACAAGACCAAAATAGGTGTCACCTTTAAGATTAACGATGGCATTTTAATTGTGATCGTTACGTTTTACACTACATTTTAATGTTTCACATAACACCAGCTTGGTCAGACATCTGGAAACAGAATGAAATGCTGAATGAAATAATCAGTTTCATACTAAATATCCATTGGCTTTTGGAGGTATGTTACATTTGCAGGCGGTAATTCATGGCTTGTGTTGTCTTAGGGCTCTGTTGTAAAAAATTCCTCGGGAGACAGAAAACAGGCCAGGCTTGAGCAAAGATAAGGGAGGGGACAGAGAAGAGCAAGGAGGGTGTGTGGTGTTTTTTTTTAAGATTGGGGATTAACTTAAAATTCAGAGGGGGAGGAAAAATATTAAATATAAAAATGAAAGAAGATAGCGAAGGAATCATGTGTGTTAATATAGTAGGGCATATTGACAGTTTTTATCTTTGAGCTTTCATATGAGGGATGGGCTTGGTACTTGTGAAGAAAATAACAGTGGCAGTAGATAACAGCAGAAGCATTACATTTGGTAATGATTGAAGAAATTTAGGCTTAAATTCAATCAGTTTATATGGGTGTCCATCACTCATCTCAGCCGTTTCCCTCTGTATTCTTGGTTTGTAACAATTTTGTTCCAAAATACTGTAGTGACTTTCAGATCTTCCATCCATCCAATAATAGTATGAAACTTATATTTCATTCAACATTTCATTCTGTATCCATATGTCTGATGAGGTGGCCGTGTCTTCAAAAGCTCATATTAGAATACTGTATAATAGTCTTTAAGGTGCCACATGTTTTTGTCTTGTTCCTTTGGATTTTGCCTGATGTGCTTGCCCAGACTAACACAGCTACCTCTTCCAAAATTACTCCATTTACTAGTTACTGTGTGAGCCAGTGGAATTCCAGATGTTCCATTGACTTCAATGGGATCTAACTCCCTGTGTATGTGTAGCGGCAAGCTTACAAGCTCCTCTCACCCACCCACTCGCAAACTTTTCAGTCCCATTTTTTTTCAAAATTTATAGACTTTAAAGTTTAATTTGTTACTAATTAACTGGGGTTTTAATCCCTCCATTCTATGTTGCCGCTTTTCCTTTCTCCTACTTTCAATTGCCATGTAGCTACCTGAATAGGTCCTGCTGAACTCATTGGGATTTGTTGTCATGTGCCATCAAGTTGTCTCCAACGCATGGTGGCTCTATGAATGAGCCATCTCCAAAAGGACCTGTCCTCAACAGCCCTGCTCAGCTCTTGTCGACTCAAACCTGTGGAGGTTAGGGAGTTAGTCCATCTAGTATCTGGTCTTCCTCGTTCTTAAATGTCCAGCTTTCACACTCAAACATGGTGATTGGAAATACAAGAGTGTGAATGGTATCTGCTGATGTGCCCAAAGTAGGACACCCTCAGCTTTAGCATTTTTGCCTCCAGAGATAGTTCAGGCTTGACTTGTTCTAGGACCCACTTCAGGGTATCCACAAAGCTCTCCTCCAGCACATTTAAATGAATCACTTTTGTTCCTGTCATCGTTCTTAAATGTCCAGCTTTCACACTCAAACATGGTGATTGGAAATACAAGAGTGTGAATGGTCTTGGTCTCCAGTGACACATCCTTACACTTGATCATCTTTTCTAATTCCTTCATTGCTACCCTTCCTAGTCTCAGTCTTCTGATTTCTTGGCTGACTTCTCCATTTGGGTTGATAGTTGAAGCAAGGTACTATACAAAATCTCTAACGATTACTATTTCTTCATTGTCATTTCTGAAGTTGTGTAGTTTTTCTGTAGTCATGACTTCTGTCTTCTTAACATTCAACTGCACACCTTCATTTGGCACTTCCTTCTTTCACTTTCGTTTCAAGTCATTGCTGCTTTCTGCCAGTAAGATGGTGTCCTCTGCATATCTTAAATTATTCTCATTTCTTCCACCAATTTTCATTCTTCCTTTATCTGAATCTAGTCTGGCTTCCCATGTGATATGTTCTGTGTACAAATTAACAGATAAGAGGATAATATGCACCATTGTCGGACAACTTTGCCTCTCCATTTTTTGTCCTAATGGTAGCTTCTTGTCCACAATACAGTTATGGAACAGGATGATCAAATGCTGAGGCACACCCTTTTCTTTGAGAACAACCCATAGTTTCTCATGATCTACAAAGTCAAAGGCTTTGCTGTAATCTATAAACCATAGACTGATCTTCTTTTGAGATTCTTTAGTGCTCTCCAGTAGCCAGTGGATATTTGAAATATGATCTCACGTGCCCCTTTTCGGAATCCAGCTTGCACATCAGGCATTTCTCACTCCATATAAGGTAAAAGCCTTTGCTGCAGCATCACTTTGCTTGCATGGGAAATTAAAGCAATGGTCCTATCCCACAAAGTGCTTTGTTGTTGTTTAGTCATTAAGTCGTGTCCGACTCTTTGTGACCCCATGGACCAGAGCACGCCAGGCCTTCCTGTCTTCCACTGCCTCCAGGAGTTTGGTCAAATTCATGTTGGTTGCTTCGGTGACCCTGTCCAACCATCTCGTCTTCTGACGTCATCTTCTCCTCTTGCCTTCGCACCTTCCCAACATCAGTGTCTTTTCCAGGGAGTCTTCTCTTCTCATGAGATGGCCAAAGCATTGGAGCCTCAGCTTCAGGATCTGTCCTTCCAGTGAGCACTCAGGGTTGATTTCCTTCAGAACGGATAGGTTTGTTCTCCTTGCAGTCCAGGGGACTCTCAAGAGTCTCCTCCAGCACCACAATTCAAAAGCATCAATTCTTCGGCGGTCATCCAACCTTCTTTATGGTCCAACTCTCACTTCCATACATCACTACTGGAAAAATCATAGCTTTGACTATGCAGACCTTTGTCGGCAAGGTGATCCACACCCATTCCCAACTGTCCTTCCTCTCTCTCCACCTCCCCTGTTCCTGCTTCAAACTCCACCCTCCTTTTCCTCTCTTTTCCCGCCTTTTCTCCCTGAACCTCCACAGTCATCACATTCTGCATGTCTTCCGTCAGCTCCTCTATCTCTGTCTCCTGCTGAGGTCTAGCTGTAGGCTCTGGTGCGGGTTTGGGGTCCACTTCCTTAGCCTTGCTGTTGAGGAGGGACGGCTCTCTAGCGAGTGGGGTATCCCTCTCGCCCTCTGTCTCACAGCTGGTAGAAGAGGTCAAACCATGCCAGAGTGGACTTCCAGCACGGAATCACATTTCTGTGGGTCTATCCATGTGAAAGCAATAAACACCCCTGTAAACAGAAAGTGACCCTCACAAGCCCTGTTGTTTTTTGTTTTTTTTTTGGCATCTTGCGTATGGAATTCCCACTCCAGAGAAGTTTACTCTGCACTGTTTGATTATGCCCTGGTGTCAAGCGGTCATATTGGCTTGTGATGTTTGTTTTGGGGCATCTTTTCTTGCATCTTTCAAACATTTAATTGGGGTTTCAAATAAAAGATTGCAAGGCATTCGCAGCTGATGGTAACTCTGGTTTAGGAAGTGCTAGGAAGCCTGCCACCCCAGGCTTTCGTCTGCCCACTAGAGGGGGATATTTTGTTTCTTTTTTTCTCAGGTCAAGAAAGGTTCAGGGAAGGCAGGGAAAATACAGTCCAGGCAGTACAAGTACCAGGCAGTCCGAAGACTGCCTCCCAATCCACTCTCTAAACGCTGGGAGGAGTGAGGAAGCAGACAGGCACCCTTTTCACTGGCCAACAGTTAACTGAAAGTTCAAATTTTGCACTTTCCCTGCCTCCCACGTGTTTTTTTTTCAG